GAAGTACTATTCTGACGTAGTGGTTAGTGAAACGGGGCCGTAGAGACATTTAGAGATGCACTAAAATACTATCAATGGTACAAACATTATGAATTTAGTACTCTTACTATAATTTCTCAACCTAAATCCAACTGATGATTTTAGTGAAATAACCTCATTCCTCATGTTTATTAGTTGTGGTGGATGAAGTGGTGATGTATCGGAGATCAATGGAAGAAGTGGCGATGGATGGAGATCAGTCCATTTCATTATATAAACCAAAAAATAAGTAGTGATCAAGAAATATTTAACCACCTCATTTCTTAAACAAACACCTATATATACTAGTATAATACCCGTGCTAACGTAACGGTTTTATCTAGAGAATGATCATAAAAACATCCAATTTGTTATTTTGTAGTTTAATCTTTACCCAATTATTATATTGTAGCCTAAGTTACATTTGGCGTAAGTCCTTTATCATTTGTTGCACATCTTCAGGGATGTTGAAACATTCGTTTGTAGGATTCGTCAAAATGTCAGCCAAGAATTCCTTCCTCAGTGTAGATGATAGCTGCGCATGGTATAGAATATAATATGTTAGTATTGTATGTAGTGTACGGAATATAGTTGGAGACTATATATGCTTACAGTGGTGATCCGTGGCAATCTTACGCCGTCCCACGACTTCATGAAATTATAGACAAGAAAGCCTCCCAATTTCCTGACGGAGAAGATCAGTTGTTTATTTGATGTACATAAATCAAATTACTGTTTTTTTTATAGAAAAGTTGAACCAAATTTTGCGACACTTACCAGTATTTATGACCCGAAACCTTTGTTACATATTTAGGGTATTTTCGCTCCCAGTAATAAATATTTTCGCTCCACCTAGAATTTGATAGTGCCATGGCGAGATTGAACATTCTAGCATTAGTGTGGAATATAGGTATATATGCCATTTCTTGATGATAACCCTTCAAACATGCATTATCTGATAGCGGTTCAAGCGGATCCATAATGTGCACATTTTTGTTTTGCATGTCCAGTATGAATAAAATGTATAGTCCATTCTGATAATATGGTAGTAGAATCTAAAAATAAACACACAGACTGTAAGTGGTTCATAAATTAAATAAATAAATTCTTATAAAGTAGTACACTGACCATAACGTACCTGGCTACAATCTTGAATTTTGTAGTGCATGTCTGCCAGCACTCAAGTACCTTTTTCAATTTGTTGTAGTATACCTTATCAATGCCACCAGTACATCGTGGATCTCTTCCAAACCCAGTTATTTCCTGATGATGATTGTAATTGTCAGTATATAATTTTTAATCACATATATTACAAGTTTTTGATGAATTATGGAATTTCAGAACTTACAACAAATTTAAGATCCATAGTATAACCCGTGTTAACGCAACGGTTTTATCTAGAGAATGATCATAAAAACATCTAATTCGTTATTTTGTATTTTAACCTTTACCCAATTATTATATTGTAGCCTAAGTTACATTTAACGTAAGTCCTTTATCATTTCTTGCACATCTTCAGGATCAGCTGTGCGTCTTAATCATGTCCCAAGAACAGGCCTTCGTTCCTAGCAAGAAATTCGGACGCGAGACGTTTCTATTCTTCGCAACATTCTGAATGTTAGCGCGCTTCGCTCCAAACATGACCCAAACACTGAAACACGTCATTTCTGAAACCTGAAACTGTGGCGGAAGTTGCCACCGTTCTCAGCAAGCAAAGCGACCCACGGTATCGCGTGAACAGACCACCAGATGTGTCCATGTGCCAAACAAGAGCGTTACAACTTGCTGCAAATCCACTGCATCTGCGTGCGTAGCTGACAAGCAGCCTGTTCATTGGTCGTGTTTAGCTTATAAACCGTAGTTTTTCAGCGAGTAAATAGTTTTTTTTTCTCACACCAAACTAGCTAAATGTACTTTCAGTCATGGCTTATCAGCCAAACAAGCCCAAACAAATAGGACGAAAATCACAAGATGCAGTTAGTGATCGTAGCCCAGCCCAGACAGCTGTGCAGAGTCAAGGATGGATGGGTGCCACTGCGAATCAATGCCCAGTAGCTGCACGAGTACGAAACCTTTTCAATGGAAAAAGAGAACGGCGTGGAAAATTAGCTCGGAGAACGCTGATCATTGTACGCCACGACCACGAGCCCGCGATGGAACTGGCTTTCTGGGAGAACGGACGGAAGATATGGGTGACAGGAGACTGATAAGAATCATTTTTTCTAACGGGCTGAAGAGAAGTGTGTTACCTGACTGAATGAAACCTGAAACCCTTTCGGAAGTTCAACAAGGCTTTAAGCATGTCTTCCGGACAGAAGGTATCTGTGCCACCTGACTCACTTCTCAATCCAAAATGATTTTGCAGGCATTTGGCATGTCTTGGAAAGAACACACTATTGCAACGGTAGTTGCATAACTACCGTAGCAGTATTAAATGGCAAACATGCTTATGCACTTATGCTACAGTTATGAATCGACCAGACAACAGGAAAACAATCTACGCCCTGTTTATTTGGGTTTATTTAGCTTATAAGCCATGACTGAAAGTACCGTTGACTGGTTTGGTGTGAGAGAAAAATACTATTCGTTGGCTGATAAGCCATAGCTTATAAGACAAATACGACCCAGCGAACAGGCTGCTGGAAAGCAATGGCAAGATAACACTCATTAGTAGGACAATGCGGTGACTGGTTTTGTAAATATAAGGGATCGGCGAGCACATACTTATAAATATACATTTACAGCGATGGAATCGAGCTACACACAAATAAGTTACCGAAGATTAGATAAATAACTCTTCGACCCTGTTAGAACACAAAGCTCTCTGAGCCTCGTGACCTTTGTACAGCCCTACACAACACCCCCTCCTTTCAGCTGAACAAAAAAACTAAAACAAAAGATAAATAGCTTTCTTTATACTCATCGTTGAGCAGCGAGTTTGATCCTGCATGTTATTTCCACGCACTGTTCTTGATCGCCTTTACACAACCTCCTTTTGTTTTGGAATGTAGAGTTTCTTTCTTTGACTATATGGTTTCATCTCATCTCAAATCGAATCTATAATGTCTCCTTCCCTCTTCCCATGATCTAGATACACCCTACACTGGATCACCATACCTCCAAGCCGGAAGCCCGGCACCACCGTGAACCCGACCTTTGGCCGCACTGGCTTCCCGAGCTCCTTGCTCGCCACCAAACCCTTTCGACCGGACAATGTTCTCCATGTACACCATTGAGAACTCAGTGCCCCAACCAACCTGGAATATGCCGATTGCTTTGGGTCATATGCCCAGCTAACCTGTCTGATGTCCATATTGAGCTTGCCATTGCAACAAACAACTTGTAGAGTGGGCCGCCACACTCATCACCAGCAATGTCCCGCAGATCTGAATTCCCAAACAGTGAGGATTCAATGCCGGGATGGATCAGCTGTTTGTACTTGCGGTCGCAAAATTGGGCAAACTTCGCAGATCCGGGCTTGAATTCATCACTCCATCGGGTCTCCGCATCCGAAAGTGCTCGATGAATTGCTGCAATGACTTCGTTTCCTACGGGTTGCCACTCCATTCCTCCAAGCTCGTGGTGCCAGGGTATGGCGCCAATTGGTAAGTCGAATCATCAAACATGGAGAGGCGAGGCGTGGGAGAGGAGCGCTGCGTGCAGCGGCAAAGCCGACCTTGGAGTAGGAGACACCCGGGTAGGCAGCCTCTGCGGCACAACGAGTCCCACCAGCAGCGATGCGGAGGACCTCGGCAAGCGCACGGGCAAATCGGTAGGCGACGCTGAGCGCGTCGCGGAGGAGGAATCGAAGACGCCCACGGACAACATCGCGTGCCGGCGCGTCGCCGCCGCCGGAGGCGCTTAGCGCGCGGTCGAGGCGGCTCGCCCGCGAGCCACGAAGTTGCCGCGTCCGACCGCCTCGAGGTCCAGCCACAGCCGCGAAGCCGCGCGTCCTTAGCGTCGAGGGCCGCTGTGGCGGCGGTTCACCACAGCGTCGAAGGACCGCAGCGCGCGCTGGTTCTCGCGCACTGGCCTCGAGTGCGCCGTGAGCGTCCCCCATCCCCATCCGTCTGGCGGGCGGGTCCGCCGCCCGCCCTCGCGATCCGCTTGAGCTCAGGCAATGATGGGCGGCGGTGTCGCGCGCCACCACCGAATCGGGCAAGAACGGTGCGTGGGCGGCTCTGCATGTGCGTATACGCCGCTGAACGACGAGGCCGTCGCGAAGCGCCCATAGCAGACGGCGGCCTCCTGCCCGACGCCGCCTTCCCTCCCCATCCGCGCTAGGGTTAGGGTTTAGCAGCGGGTCGGGCTCAGACCACGACCACCCGCTGCCCGGCAAGACCCCATCCGCCCGGCGCCGCGGCTATAATCGGCGTCTCGTCCTCCTCCTCCTCGGTGAAGAACTGATGGTCTTGGTCTTGAACGCGGCCGCGAACTTGTGGAGCATGGCTACGCCCACCCCAGCATGTTCTATTCCGCCGTGAGTGGGGGAAGGTGTCGGCGACGCAATTGCGGGAGTCGGGGTGTTGGCGTAGAATGAGGAGATTTGATACACTCAATCCAGGGCCTCGATTGTGTAATGAGTAAGGAGAGAGAAGGCTTAGAGTACATCTGGACGGTTCGTTTGAAATGTGTTGTTTTCTTAGGTGCACTTTTTGGGGTGGACTTAGAGGGGACATCTCAGCGAGGGGTCGTTTTTTTGTGTGGACGTAGGAAAGAAAAAATGATGCATTAGTAGAGTAGATGTGCTGAACCCTTACATTACACGCACCAGCAAGGCACGCTGAAATTGTAGATACCCAGCAGCCAATTGTTCGTGGCACTTAGCATATCACAGATGCTTCATTATTCATGAGTCCTGCATTTTTATTGTTACTAGTAGTACGTATCCTGGCGCCGTTACAAGTATGCTACGCCGAGTATTATTTATTATTCTTCACCAGCCAAGTATGCATGCATGAACGCGGCTCCGGCCTCTTCCTCTAGCAGGTGAGGTTGTTCCCCGGGTCGACGCCGAACTGCTTGCAGTACTGCTTGTAGTAGCCCACCCGCGCGTTCATTTGGGCGGCGTTGTTTCCGTTGCACTCGAGGGCTCCGTTGATGGCCCTGATGGTGGCGCCGAACCCTTGCGGCATCACCCCGTGCACGTTGTTCATCCAGAACCAGAGCGCCGCCTTGAACGCAATCACAGGGTCCTGCGCCACCCTGTCCGGGTTCCTGAGCCCATCGAAGCCGATGTATCTTCCGGCAGCCCCGTAGTTGTAGTTCCACGAGATCTGCAGCGGGCCGCGTCCGTAGTATTTCTTCCCCGCAGCGCACGGCCACTGTGTGTTGCTCGAGTCACAGTAGGCGTTGTTCTTGTTGATCTCACTGATGTAGCAGAAATCTGTCGGGAAGAAGCCGTGTAAATTATGTTCCAAATTGATCATGATCAGCATGATATGCAGCCACATGCATCCCGTGGAAGAAAGATTACACTCTGCAATTAGTGGAGGTTTAGGTTCAATCAACTTACGTCCAGTCTCATGTGTGGCGTGAGCGAAGAAGGCGGCTATCTCGCGCTTGCCATCGGCCTCTGAGCCGCCGTGGGGGAAGCCGGAGTGCGAGTTAGCGGCGTTCAGGAACGCGCCTCGCGAGTAGAAGTTGTTGCCCTCGCACCCACCTCCGGCCTGGGACTTGATGCCGTTGAAGAACGCGTCGGTGACGACGTTACCCACGTTCTTCGCGGCTACCGGACCGACAGCGCAGAGGAGCGCTAGCCCGAGAGCCAGAACCGTGAGGATTGTCGGCAAGTTTGCCATGCTTCCTTGCTGCGGTGCAGCCTGCGCTGTGAGGTGATTTGAGATGGCATGCTGGTGTCGCTTTATATAGAGGTCAGGTCAGGGCGCGGGCGCGCAACTTCTAACGCGTGGCATTCGAAGTGGAGTACTTTAGCACACCTCAGTGGACCAACGTGCACCATCGCTGCACTTAGGGCACCATCAGCGCACTACCTCTCGGTGGAGTAATTTCATTTTTTTTCCCGCGGCCCTGTCTGTAATTTCATATATGAATAACCTCACATAAAAACGTCACATGATATTAGAGTTTGCGCATGAAACCAAGGTTTTAAATAGTGGGCTAAACTGTTTAGCGTCTCCTCCTACAAAAATTATTACACATTTACCTTTTTTTAGAGAACTTGAAAATTATTAACAAACTTTGCATATGAAGACACAGAACTAAGAAAATTTTATAAACACAAATACTCAAATATATGTATAGAGCTCTAGGAGAATAAATCCATTATTTTAGTCATTCAGTTACCGGACCGACAGCGCAGAGGAGCGCTAGCCCGAGAGCCAGAACCGTGAGGATTGTCGGCAAGTTTGCCATGCTTCCTTTGCTGCGGTGCAGCCTGCGCTGTGAGGTGATTTGAGATGGTATGCTGGTGTCGCTTTATATTGAGGTCAGGTCAGGGCGCGGGCGCGCAACTTCTAACGCATGGCATTCGAAGTGGAGTACTTTAGCACACCTCAGTGGACCAACGTGCACCATCGCTGCACTTAGGGCACCATCAGCGCACTACCTCTCGGTGGAGTAATTTCATTTTTTTTTGCCGCGGCCCTGTCTGTAATTTCATATATGAATAACCTCACATAAAAACGTCACATGATATTAGAGTTTGCGCATGAGACCAAGGTTTTAAATAGTGGGCTAAACTGTTTAGCGGTGTTCTCCTACAAAAATTATTACACATTTACCTTTTTTTAGAGAACTTGAAAATTCTTAACAAACTAAGATAGATATTGCACTCAACAGGTGTAGCATATGAACACATAACTAAGAAAATTTTATAAACACAAATACTCAAATATATGTCTAGAGCTCTAGGAGAATAAATCCATTATTTTAGTCATTCATTTAGTTAACATACTAAGATAGATATTGCACTCAACAGGTGTAGGCGAGTGTATAATTTTTTAACCAATCAGGCAGAGAGCTGTCGATTATATTAAAAAACAAATGAAGCTCAGACTAAGCAAAAATAAACAGAAACAACATTCGGTCGGTTCGATTGGGACATTAACACGCACCGAAACTCCAACTCAAAGGAGAAGAAAAAAACAACTCTAGCCGATCGGATTGGGACATCGACCCGAGCCACGACTCAACAAAGACACATGCTTCAACGCCACCTAACCACCATGAACTGGTCACTACACTGCACCGCCATCCCCCAAAAGACAAAGCCGTAAAGATGAAATCACCCTCGTCACTGCTAGTGCCGTCGTTGCCGACCATGTCCCACACCGAGTAGCCCGCTATTAAGCAGGGCTAGCCGCTGTAATCCGCTGCAAGCCGTGTAGCCCCTCCGCAATCAGCTCCGTTTGCACCATCTCTCAAGACGTTGTCCCACACCGAAATAGCGACTGCAAAGCAGGGCTACACGCTGCAGGCCGCTGTAAACTGTCAAACCGACGCCAGAGGAGCTGCCTCATGTGCACACAAAGCCGATCCGCCCGCCGAGATCAACGTGCGGCTTCCAGTAACCTAGATGTCTCATCGAGGTACAAGTGCCACACACGCCCTCCGACAGTCGGTCAGAAGCCTACACGTAGGTCACCTCGGCAACGCAAGTCTGCTAGCCACCACCTCCCAGGTCGGCCTCCTCGCCAACTCCGTGGGCGCCTTCCATGTCGGCTTCCTCACCAACTTTGTGGTCGCAACTCAACTACCAAGCAGATGCGAAACCCTCCAATCGCCGTGCCAAATCCTCCTCCCGACCACCTTCCGCCGTAGTGGACACCAGAAACTTGAATCCTCAGCTAGGTCTCCACCTTTCTCGCCACGATGGAGGCGGCCATCGCAGACGGACAGGCACGAGCTTCCAAAATGACACCACCAGGGAGGAACTCGATGCCACTGGTGCCACCATCGACTGACCAGAAGGACAAGGTTTTACACCCAGGAAGTGCACGCCACACAAAGGGGAGATGGCCGATCGATGGGCGTTTCCAAGAAAGAATACAACGCCCGAAGGCGTAGCCGCCATCGGTCTACTGGACATAGCTTTCGCCGTGGCACCTCAACCCCATGCGCGGCGGTGGCCAAGGCCCTCGTGTACTTGTTGTGTCAGCCACCGCCCCATCGGTGAAGCCAACCCGCTACCGTTGCCATCGTCGATGCTAGAGCTACCACCCATGTGCTAACACAGGCAGCGACTGAAGCCACCGCGTCCCCAGCACTCGTCGTATAGCCCCACACCCACCGACCGCCGCTGGGGAAGAAGCTCGCTCTAGGCCACCGCTGCCACGCCCAAACCAGGCACCTACATCGCCGCAACGCCACGCCGGGGGGCCGCTCGCCTCGTGTCGCTGAGCTGTCGCCCGCGCCTCTGCACCTCCACGGGGAGAGGGAGGTCGGCATGTCTATCAGCCGACACCACGCGAATGTAGCCACTGTCACCATTCGGTGGTGCCCAGACCTCTACCATGGCTGGGAAGGGCAAAGGCCAGAGCACCTAGCGGATCAAGCCCTAGGACCACCGGATCCAGCCGCCGGGTGTTGGTATTTATTAACACACACAGATAAATCCGTAAGCGCACGGATACTACTGTAGCTTTTACTTAGAAGTATTCCAAGTATCGTATCTACAGGAAAACGTGTGAGACTAACTATGATCTAACTTAACTAGGGGTGGCAACAAGGTTAGGATAAATAGGAGCGTAGAGAGGATAACTAAGGTTTTCTTGTTCTGACTTGGGTAAGCTTATACTTTCTACTATTCAACTAGAGACATTACTAGGAAAAGACACCAGCAGAGGATCCTTTCCTTCGCAACCGTGTCCTACGTGCGCCTACAGGCGAGAGGTGGACTACAAATCATCAACGAAGCTATATAGTACATGCTATATAGAACTTATGTCACTCACACGATCTACCACCTTCCGGAATGCAGGGTGCATCCACGATTAAACCAAGTCTAAGCACCATGCTTACACTTACAATTAATACTCTACTCCCCCTATGTAGAGAATAAAGCACTCAAAAGAGTCGCAAACCTGATGAATAATATAAACAAGATGCTTACTTGAATCATAAGTTGATTACCAGAGAAAAAATCTTAGAAACGAGCTCATGTAGAACTTAAATCCGCCAAGGTACAAGCCGTAGAGAGAGCACCAACAGGCCGACACTTCCTCCAAACTCTTCTCTCACTCTCTATCTCACTATTTCTATTTATAAGACTAGATCTTATAGAGGACTAATCTTCTCTTAATAGCTGGCTCTGATCCTGACGAGGAGAATATGAATTAGGGTTTTAGGATGTCTCTAGGGAGGGTGGCAGGGGTTGGTATATATAGCCTGGAGCGTTCAACGTGAGCCCTTAGATCAAACCGACTTAAAGGATGGTATAGATGCAACCTAAGAGGCGGTGGGGAACCGACTTAGCAACGAGGGGCTGACTGGTGGACCACAGGGGCCAGACGGCCTCCTGGAGTCTTCTAGTTTCGCTACGGAATTACACGATTTCCTTTAACGAATAGGTCCCCCTTGGCGGTTTTCTGGATAAACCCTGCTAAAAACACATATTCGCCAAAACTCGTAGAATTTATTAGTTTAAACCCCTATACCTATGTTTGGTGATAGAATTAAGTATAAATACAAGTTACGTCGATGATTTACAATTGATGTTAGTGACAGTCAACAAGTTCCTCCAAGCTTAACCTTTGCTAGTCCCTGAGCAAAACTAAACTCAGCAATGGATTAGGAGATGCTACAATGTCAAGAATTCTCCTCTGGATTAGAATAAATTGATCTGACTTTCAAACTTACCCATATTACCTTCAACTATAGGGCTTCTTAACCTTTACTTGGGTCTTGAGCAATTAAAAGATAAAACAATTAAGTCAAGTACTATTGTCGGTGTTTCAAGTAAACACCAACGAGTAAATTTCTGTTATTGCACGTCTGGGCCAGATGGTGTGCTAAAAAGACACAAGGTTTATACTGGTTTGGGCAGAATGCCCCTACGTCCAGTTCGTGGTTGTTGCTCGTGTTATTAGCACTGAAAAGTTCTTAGTAGGGGTTACAAACAGACAAGAGAGGGACATGTCCCAAGTCTCTGATGGAAAGATCGAATAGATGCCGAGAGCTAGGTCGCTGCTCAGTTATGTGTTCGAGGTTCGATGCTAGTGGTTCTGCTGTGATGTGTTCAAATCGATCCCCTTAGTGAGGTGCCATGCTTTCCCTTCTATAGGCCTAGGAAGAGCAGGGATTACAGATGGGAGAAAAGAGAAAAACCAGAGGCAAAGGAAGTCCTTCAATGACGCCGGGTCTTCCTTTTCGTCTGTGCGGGTCCCACTGACATGGCAGACGGTGACAGGGATGGCTCCATGTCGGGCGCATGTCCGCTGACCCTGACAGGGCCATGCTGGGTGTCTGTCCACTGATGATGCCTTGTTTTGGCATTGTCAGCAAGTTGTCACATCCCATCCCACCCCGGTGGGCGGCGCGGCGGACCAGGGTGCTGATCAACGGCCATATAGGGAAGAGGCAGCACAGTGACCGCACGTCCGTTACTGTGGATGATGCAAGTTTCCTTCTAGACCATAGCGATTATCGTGAGCTTCCATAAGGATCCGAGCCCGAGGGCAAATGACGGCGCCCACAACACTGTAAGGCAAATGTCGGCACCTACAACACTATTTGGGCTCTGACATGCCTAAAAGGTCTCAAAGCACCCTTCTAGCATGGCCTAACGGTACTTTCCTACAGGCGTGCACGGTATGGTCCTCGTTATTACGGTTGACTTGAGTGCCCTAACTTATTTGCGCGCGGCGTTATAAAGGAGTCACGCGCAGACGTCGGTCGAGGCGGAGCTAGCTCTCAGACGTCGGGCGAGGCGGACCCAGCCCTCAGACGTCGGGCGTGGCGGAGCCAGCCCTCGAGGGTCGGGCGAGGCGGACCCAGCCCTCAGACGTTGGGCGAGGCGGAGCCAGCCCTTAGACGTCGGGTGAGACGGAGCCAGTCCTCGGGGGTTAGGCGAGACAGAGCCATCCCTCGGGAGTCAGCCGAGGCAGAGCCAACCCTCGAGGGTCGGGCGAGACAGGGCCTATGGCCGCAGCGTCCACCGAGGCGGAGCCAATCCTCGGGGGTCAGACGAGGCAGGGCCCACCGCCTCGGTGGCCAGACGATGAGGGACCCAGCAAGCGGTGTAGTCCCGCTCTTGATCGCGCGGATGAATCAACGTTGATGGTCATTTAGCTCCTCCTCTTCGGGTACCCTAGTATTGGTCCCCAACAACTATGTCTCAAGTTCGTTGTTCCACCATTATTTCGGAGTTTTTATAAATTTTTAAAATAAAACTTAGAGATTCCTTTGTATAACGCTTGAGGTAGGATGACCTTGAGATGAGTCGACCCCTCGACCGGACCCTTGCTGCGCGCGGGGGCTCGAGAGTTGAACTCGTAAGGAGGCCGAATACGCGGTCGTATAACAATGACGGATCGGTCGGATCCTAGGGAGGAATCAGAATCAAGAGAGGTCTTCTCTAATACTACGAACCGCGCAGCTACCTGCTCCCAAGGTATACAAACACGACGGAAAGGAATCTCGACCATACCAAGACTACGTGGTCTTGTGCCACCTTGTCTGGGTTCCCGAGCCCGTCGAAGCCGATGACCTTTCCGGCAGGCCCGTAGTTGTAATTCCACGAGATCTGCAGCGAGCCGTGCCCGTAGCACTTCTTCCCCAGGACGCTTGGCCACTGCCTGTTGCTGGCATCGCAGTAGTTCCTACTCGCCCCGTTGATGTAGCAGAAATCTGTCGGTACATATATATGAAGCCATGCGAAGTTGTTGATCAGCGGGACCGGGAACACCACACCACCAAGCAAGAATTGAAGATTAGTGGCGGTTTAATCAACTCACGTCCAGTCTCGTGCGTGACGTGCGCGAAGAAGGCGGTGATCTCACACTTGCCCTCCACCTTCGAGCCGCCATGGGCGAAGCCTGGTTACGCATTGACGGCGTTTAGGAACGCGCTTCGCATGTAGAAGTTCTTGCCCTCGCACCAGTTCGGGGCCTGGTTCTTGATGCCGTTGAAGAACGCGTCGGTAACGACGCTTGCCACGTTCGCGCCGCTACCTCCTCCGCCCCCACCCGAGTGGCACGGGCCCGAGTGACACCCCTTTCCACAGTAGGCGTCGCCCATGCCACAGTAACCATACTAGCTGCTCTCCCGCTTCTCCGTGCGCGCAGAGGTACGGGACGGGGAAGCCGGAGGGCTGTTGAGATGTGGTCTCTCTCGAAAGTGAAGCCAGAGATCTGGACTGACGGAGGACTACGGAGGGAAGGGAGAAAGACAGCGGAGAATCCCAGGAGACGGAAAGCAGAAGGGCGGAAGGGACGGTAACTGCCGCAATCAGTTCGCCTCCACCATGAAGGAGAGAAACTCCCGTGATTATGTGGATTTAAGTGGCAAAAACCTGGCCACGTCCGCCCGCTCGCACCTGCCTTGCCACGCCTCGGCCCGGCCGGCAGCGGCGGCGGCGCGCGCGCACGTGTGGCACCCTTTGTCCTTTTCTCAGCTTCTCAATTAAGATGGATAATTTTCAACCATATAAGCTGAGTAAACATTCAGTCAAAATTCTATACGGTATTAAACTATACAACGCTTAATGTTACGTGCTATAAAGTTTTATTTGATTTATTAAATATTATACGGGCAAAGCCCATAATATATCAACAATCGGGTTCCCAGCAAGTCGAAGCCGATGCTCTGCCCCGCCAGACCGTAGTTGAAGTTCCACGAGATCTGCAGCGGGCCACGCCCGTAGTACTTCTTCCCCAGGGCGCACGGCCATTGTGAGCTCAGGGCGCACGAGACCTGGCTGTTCCCGTTGATCTGGTTGATGTAGCAGAAATCTGTTGCCACGTACATGTATTGTATTGTATATGTACGCAGAAGGCAAAAGCCACCGTCAAGGAATCGAATCAAACCATGCAATTTATATTAAGGAACGTATATAGGCGCTAGAGCGGCGACTTACATCCGGTCTCGTAGGTGACGTGCGCGAAGAAGGCGGCGATCTCGCGCCTGCCCTCCGCCTCCGTGCCGCCATGCGCGAAGGCCGGGAACGAGTCGGCGGCGCTCACGAACGCGCTCCGTGTGTAGAAATTCTTGCCCTCGCACCCGTTCCCGCCGGCCTGGGACTGGATGCCGTTGAAGAACGCCTCGGTGACGACGCTAGACGGACACGCCGGCGCCGCCGCTCCCCAACCCCAAGCACGGGCTGGCGGCACAGAGGAGTGCTAGACCAAGAGCCAAGGCCGTCAGGATCATCGTCGGCGTCGGTGAGTTCGCCCTACTGGATAAACGGTCTTGGCTCGATTGCTTAGCTACACGTTATGACTCCGAGGGATGGCACATGGCATGGTTGGGTGGCGTTTTATAGACCGAGTTCGACCGATCAGTGCATTCATGCATGATGCATCCTCTCGATGTGGAGGATGGACTATCTATTGGGTATTCCTATGGCACTATTCCACAGTTTGAACTTGCGGTGGCACGCATATCAATCAGCAGGTACACCTGCGACGACGGAAGGTGGACACTGTGTTTGGATACCCGTCGTGTGTACTACTGACGACTAACCGGCCACGAGTCATACTTTCTGGTGGTACGTACACGTACAGCTGGTACACGTACAGCTGCCGCGCGCCATTCGGTCGCCGCTAGAACTAGCAGCCATACTGTTCAAGTCCATGGATCATGCATGTGAGGATATATATATCGGTGACCTGATGCGTGTTACGTGTATGTCCAATCCAGCATACAAACGGTCAATCAGAAGGGAAGACTTCCAAGATTGCTGCCGTTGACGGTTGCTTAGTTTGACACGCACTAGCTTAGTACACCTTTGGCCACGTTTAGTTTGGTGTCCGATTCGGCGCCGCCAAATTCAGGGAGGTACTGCCACTAGATGCTCTAACTCATTGCATATGTTTTTAGGATCTAGTAGAGTGCTAACTCCCTTGAAAACATTTGTGAAAATATGCTAACACACGTGCACAAGGTGATACACTTGGTGGTTGGCACATTTGAGCAAGGGTTAGTAACTTCACCGACGGAGTGTCCGCCCGTAGAGTACGGATAGTCCGACGGTGCCACCGATGCTCTCTACATAAAAGACAGAGGTCACTATGAGTGACTGGACGCTGGTCTCAGTAGGACCGGCGCGTTCGGTCAGTGGCAGCAGTGAGCACGCGGTTTCGGTCTCTTGACCGGACGCTGGCGTGAGAAATGACCGGATGCTCAGAACCTGAGTCCGGTCAGTATGACGTATGATGACGTTGAGTGACCGAACGCTGGGTGTGTCCGGTCGGGTATGACCGGACGCGTCCGGTTGTGATTTTCGCTTCTGGAAGCTTACTGGAAATGACCGGACACTGGGGTCATGCATCCAGTCACTTTGAGCAACGCGTCCGGTCACTACTTAAATGTACTGATGACCGTTGAGATTGGACGATCAGTGTTTGAAGAAGGGGACACGTGGCACACATCGCGCGATTGGACGCTGGGGTCCAGCGTCCAGTCGATCTGACCTGCGCGTCCGGTCATCCTTTTTTTAGTGGACCGAGGAGCCAACGGCTCTATTTCGTGGGGGCTTCTATTTAAACCCCATGGCCAGCTCAAGCTTATTCTCTTGGCCATTTGCATTGACATAGCAACCTTGTGAGCTTAGCCAAAGCCCTCCCACTCATCTCCATCATTGATCCATCATCATTGTGAGATTGGGAGATAATCCAAGTGCATTGCTTGAGTGATTGCATGTAGAGGCACTTGGCATTCGTGTTTCACTGCGGGATTCACTTGTTTCTCTTGGTGGTTGCCGCCATCTAGACGGCTTAGAGCAGCGAGGATCGTTGAGCGGAGGTTGGTGATTGTCTCCGGCTCTGATCGTGGAGATTGTGAGGGGTCTTGTGCCTTCCCCGGCGGAGCGCCGAAAGGTAACTCTAGTGGATTGCTCGTGTCATTAAATTACCTCACTTGTGGGTAGGTTCTTGCGGTGTCCTATTGTGTGGACGAGGTTTGTGCAACATCTCTTAGCCGCCGAACCATCAAGTATTGGTCGACACAACGGGGACTAGCGTGCCGGCAAGCACGTGAACATCGGGAGAAAAATTGGTTGTCTCTTGCCCTTTGGTATTCTCCCGGTGATTGATTTAGTATTCATCTTGTGATTGGTTCACTCCTCTATACAACGGTATAATCACCATACTCACTCATTTATATTCTTGTAAACTAGTTGTAGCAACCTCTTTAGTGTAGCTAGATTTGAGAGCTTGATTTGTAGTTTAAGTTCATCTAGTGGAGCTCTTTAGTGTAGCAAGTGTGAGAGTTCTTAGTGAGTAGTGACATAGCAAATTGTGTGCTTAGTGTTCATAGCAACTAGAATTATTGGATAGGTGGCTTGCAACCCTTGTAAATCTAGAGCAAGTTTGTATTTCGCTATTTGTTATACTAATCAAATTGTTATAGTTGGTTTGTAGATTTTAAAATAGGTTATTCACCTCTCTCTAGCCATATTATGATCTTTCACTCGTACAGTCGTACTTTCATGACGTTATTTTCAAGAAAATAAAACTTGGATAAAACACTCACATCCAATGCAAAGTTTCATTCTATAGTTTCATAGACATTTAATTCTATGACTCGTAGATAGTTGGTAATTGTGACAAGAGAGTTTCATCTCATTTCTTCTCTTTCTTATTAAATACACTGCTATATCATCAAATATACATATGTGACAGCGTATTTAATGTAAATAAAACTCACAAAACTTCCATTGCTGACGTGGATATTTCAGTTGCATGTGCTAATGGATTTTATTTGTATGTGATAGTGATTTGCCTAGTTAGATAGCTTGTATGTTGAGATAAATAGCTAGTGGGGTTTTGTTTAGTGGATTTTAATTCTATGTGATAGTGCATTGTCTAGTTGGACAACTTGTATGTCTAGATAAATAGCTAGTTTCATTTTTATAGTTTCATAGACATTTAATTCTATGACTCGTAGATAGTTGATAATCATATAAAAAAGTTTTATCTAAATAAAACATATTTCTTCTCTCTTTTTTTAGACTCACTGCCATATCATCAAATATATCTATGAGACAACGTATTTAATGTAAATAAAACTCACGCCGAAACTTCGATAGAGACTGGCCTTACTCCAGATACCAAGGCACGACCTCCTCCTCTAGCTGCGGCGCAGGCATACATGCGTCGGTATTGCAGCCTCCTAGGCCTTGTTTAGATCACCTCCAAATTCTAAGTTTTTTCACTCTCTCTTCATCATATTAATTTTTGGACGTATGTATGGAGCATTAAATATAGGTAAAAAAAATAACTAATTACATGCGTCTTTATTGGAGCCTCCGCACAAAGTTAACTTCCCGTGACACTTTACAATAAACAAAATTAACTTCCCGATTGGATTGCATGCAGAATAATAGAGGGAAGTGGCGTATAAAAAACAAGCTTTTGCACTCGTGCAAAAAATGCTTTGTCTTCCGTCACATGACTTGAATGCTCGGCATAAAAGCTCATCGGTAACCAAAGTTGCGCCTAACTAACTGGCCCAGCTCAAAAACGTGAGAACGCCTTAGAAAGCTGCCCGGAGGGAGTACCTCATATGCGGTATGCGCAGGCCAGACTTGTGTAGCAGGCCAACTGCAGGCCGTAAAGCCCATTAAAGCCCCCCTTCGGAACAAAAGTTGTACTACATGATACAAAGGAAAAATAGGGAAAAAAACATAGCAATAATGTCAAAAAAACATAGGAATAAAATGCTATAAAACTTCAAATCCTATACGATTTAAGAACAAATTGAAGTTTAGGAATATACCTTTGGAAGCAGTGTAGGAAAAACATAGGAAACAAAACAATGACGCTGAAACTCATATCCATGGCGTTTTTCAAAGGAATTGTTGGGAAGCATTCCTTTTTTCCCTAAAGATATCATAGGACTTTTTCCTATATGAATTGAATCCTTTGAAATTCCTTTTTTTTTCTCAATTCAAAGGTATCTAACTACTTTAGTAGGGGTAAAGTTCATTCTACTCTACCTCCCTAATAAATTAATGTTATAATCTATTTTTTCTCCTCAAACTTCAAAACAGGATGTCTTACCTCCTGAACTCTCAGACAGTTCAAATTATCTCCCTGTCCTGGTTTGGAGTGGGTTTAAAGACGGTTTTTCCCTTTTTAGTTGAAAACTTGGCAAACACTTGATAAAGTTTTTAAACCACAACAAAATGTCTCTAACCTTTTAAAACTTACAAAAAAATTCTAAAGACAAATTGGGATATAAAAAATCAAATAAAAATTCTAAAGACTTCAAAAAACTAGGTTTAGGGTTTAGGGTCCACAAAAATCTAGTAAAATTCTAGAAGCATCCTAATTGATCTATAAGAGTGTTTTAAAAACTTTGCATGGAAAATATATGAGATGCAACAAATATGAAGGCAACATAAATTAATGTTGAATGCATTCATGCTGGTTGTGTAATGCATTTTTTGTTGTGGAAAGTTTTCAAAACATGTTTACATATCAATTAGGATGCTTTGGGAATTTTCTAGTTTTTTTTCATACTTTTTCATTTTCCTAGAGCTAAATCTATGTTGAAGCATCTTCAGACATTTTCATGAGCTCTGATATTTTATTTGGATTTGTTGTATCCCAACTACCTCCTTTTTGGAAAATTTTTAAAAGCTTAGAGACATTTTCTGAGATTTAAAAACCTTATCATTTATCAATTATTTTAGCTAAAAGAAGGACAAAACCGCCTTTAACACCACTCTAAATCAGGATAGGAAGGTAATTTGGGCGGTTTTGAGAGTTTAGGAGGTAAAATGTGTGATTTTAGAATTCGAGAACAAGGAGGTAGAATAGTCTTTTTTCCATCCTAAATTTTTTGGAGGCCTTGTACGGCCAGCCCACTTGCACTGAGCCTTGTACAGGCATGATTTTTTCCAGACGTACATGGGAATTGATAGATTTGTAATTATTAGAGAGGGAGCCTCTCCAAGGGCGGAGAACGAGAAGGCCAATTTTAGAGAGCGATGCAGAATGACATATTTGTTGGATGATTTTTTTATGTTCTCTAAATTTGTGTGTGATGTTAGTGAAACGGGGCGTAGAGCCGTTTAGAGATGCACTAAAATACTATCAATGGTACAAACATTATGAATTTAGTACTCTTACTATAATTTCTCAACCTAAATCCAACTGATGATTTTAGTGAAATAACCTCATTCCTCATGTTTATTAGTTGTGGTGGATGAAGTGGTGATGTATTGGAGATCAATGGATGAAGTGGCGATGGATGGAGATCAGTCCATTTCATTATATAAACCTAAAATAAGTAGTGATCAAGAAATATTTAACCACCTCATTTCTTAAACAAACACCTATATATATGTGCTGAAGCCTTACATTACACGCACCAGCAAGGCACGCTGAAATTGTAGATACCCAGCAGCCAATTGTTCGTGGCACTTAGCATATCACAGATGCTTCATTATTCATGAGTCCTGTATTTTTATTGTTACTAGTAGTACGTATCCTGGCGCCGTTACAAGTATGCTACGCCGAGTATTATTTATTATTCTTCACCAGCCAAGTATGCGTGCATGAACGCGGCTCCTCTTCCTCTAGCAGGTGAGGTTGTTCCCCGGGTCGACGCCAAACTGCTTGCAGTAGTCCTTGTAGTAGCCCACACGCGCGTTCACTGCGGCGGGGTTCTTGCCATTGCACTCGAGGGCGCCGTTGATGGCCCTGATAGTGGCACCAAACCCCTGTGGCATCACCCCGTGCACGTTGTTCATCCAGAACCAGAGCGCCGTCTTGAATGAAATCACGGGGTCCTGTGCCACCTTGTCTGGGTTCCCTAGCCCGTCGAAGCCGATGTCTTTTCCGGCAGGCCCGTAGTTGTAATTCCACGAGATCTGCAGCGGGCCGCGCCCGTAGTACTTCTTCCCCGGGACGCATGGCCACTGCCTGTTGCTGGCGTCGCAGTAGTTCCTACTCGCCCCGTTGATCTCGTTGATGTAGCAGAAATCTGTCGGTACATATATATGAAGCCATGCGAAGTTGTTGATCAGCGGGACCGGGACACCACACCACCAAGCAAGAATTGAAGATTAGTGGCGGTTTAATCAACTCACGTCCGGTCTCGTGCGTGACGTGCGCGAAGAAGGCGGCGATCTCACGCTTGCCCTCCACCTCCGAGCCGCCATGGGCGAAGCCTGGGTACGCGTTGACGGCGTTCAGGAACGCGCTTCGCGTGTAGAAGTTCTTGCCCTCGCACCAGTTCGGGGCCTTGTTCTTGATGCCGTTGAAGAACGCGTCGGTAACGACGCTTGCCACGTTCGCGCCGCTACCTCCTCCGCCCCCACCCGAGTGGCACGGGCCCGAGCGACACCCCTTTCCACAGTAGGCGTCGCCCATGCCACAGTAACCATACTGACTGCAGCAGTAGCCTGGCTGGCAGCCGCAGTTCTGTGCGGCGGCCGGACCGGCAGCGCCGCAGAGGAGTGCTAGGCCGAGAGCCAGGACCGCCAAGATCCTCGGCGCGTTGGCCATAGCCGATCACAGCTTCTGTTGCTGACTGTTGGTTTCCTTGCCGAAGCGCACCTTGTTGTGAGGTGATTTGAGGTGGTATGTTGGTGGCGTTTATATAGAGACCAGGGCTTGCACATTTTCGTTGCATGTCATTCGACTTTGAAGACCGGGATGGACTAGCTACGTTGGTCCAGGCGTCCAGCATTGTGCATTAGTGCTGGCACTACTGTTCCACGTTTTACGAACTTGTGGCGGGAAACCTCTCCACAGGTACGTACTCTCTGTTTTCACATGCTGCGACGACTGCCGACTACTATAGCTGCAACGCAATTTAAAGATTTGGAATTTCGATAGCAGCCGTGTACTTGTTACTTGGTGGAAATCCGGTGCGTGCTACGCTGCTACTGGGAGCAGTCCTTCACATTTCTTGTATAATTTTCTCATCCGCATAGAAATTGCCGTCATCCGGCCGCCGCTGCAGCCGTACATCACCGAGTATCGATGGTCAGTTGCACGGATCATGCCTGTGTGCAGATACATCATATCGGTGACATATATATAAATGGTCAATCCAGAAAATGAAGAATTCTATGAGATCGCTGCCCGTGATATGGCTGCATAATTTGGACAGAACGCACGAGCCTGAACTTATGCCTTCTCCACAATAAAGTTCAAGGACGGTCGCAAAAGAAAAGTTCAAGGGACGATCATTCTTTACTACATTTGTTCAATATATACGGTGATTTTCCTCTATCAAATAATTATAGTTGTAGTAGTATTTTTTTATAGAAAAATAGATTGACTATAGTTATACTATCACCCCGAGCCTGCTCCATTTCAAGTGTCCGCATGCACATAACACCACCAGCAGCAGGAGGCGCGCGCGGTGATCCACGGCGCACTAGCAGCAACACATGTGCTTCCCCGAGACCTAAACATCGAAATAAAACACTTGTAACATACGTCCAGATGAACCACTTGAAATATGCATGCATAGCTATAGCAACATGTGCAACACCCGATGTATTTTTAAAGCATCCAGATGCAACACTTGCAACATAAAAAAAAGACAGATGAAACATTTGAAACCATTGCAAAACATACGCAACATCCAGATAAAACACTTGCAACATATGCGTGAAATATATGAAACATCTAGATAAACACACTTGCCACATGCGTCTAAAAACACAGATGAAACATTGAGAACAGATGCTTGCAACATATGTGTACAAACCATTGCAACATATGCAACATCCCAATCTACTTTTACAACATCCGTATGAAATACTTATAACATACCTTAAAACATTTGAAATGCTTGAAACATAGGCTTGCAACATACGCTTTCAACAAAACCTAGCAGGTGGGGAGCAATGCAGAGCGAGATCTGACGCTAGGTCGCGATGAAGGAGGATGGCACTGAGCTGGTGGCTGCATGGGCCCTGGTGAGCGGCGGTGCCCCCGGCGAGCGGCACCTATAGTGGAGGTGGCAACAGCGGTTGGGTAGGTGCGGCCTCACGCGGCGAGGCACTCCTGCGCTAGAGAAGGTCACGGCGGGAGGGTGCCTTGCCCGCGGCAAGCGGCAACTGCGCTGGAGAAGGCGAGCAGCGGACGAGAGGCGGAGGAACACCGTGACGTGTCGGGTATCAGTATCAGGGATGCCTGGAAGAAGGAAGCTAATGGCCGCGAACGCTAACTCCTTCGGATGGTCAAGAGTGTATCTTGGTCTCGCTCGGCCCCAAGGATACGGGATCCGGGTCACCCGACTTCAAGGATACGGGATCCAGGTCACACGACCCCAAGGGCACGGGCTCCGTCTCGCCCTACCCCTCGGGCAAGAGCCCCGTCACACCCGACCCCTTGGGCGAGAGCCCCGTCACGTCCAACCCTGAAGGCGTGGATTCTGCCTCGCCCGACCCCAAGGGCGCGGGCTCCGCCTCACCCGATGGAGGTCTGTACCGCCCCAACCACTATGGGTCTAAAAGTACGAGTCCAGGGTCAAACTTCTAACGCCAGAAGGGGAGTAGGCGTATCTTGACGTGACCCACGGCCACGACGGGCCACGTCTGAGGACGCACGTTGCCAACAGCATCGGGCGTGCCGGCACTGTGCTACCTACTCCCCTTATGGCCTCTAGCGGAGGTGTCAGCGAGCCATACCATCCGCTGGGACGGGATGGAGCGCCACGACCGGCTGACGACGCCCGTGTACGGCGCTAGTGACGAACAGGGACGCGACGTGGAGCCGTCCCCGTCGTCATCTACAGGGCCAGCGGGACCCACGTAATGGAGATGGAAGACGTTGCAATCCCAGAAGCCTTCCTCTCCTTGTCTCTCTCTCTCTCTCTCTCTCCGATGTTACCTACATCTTCCGCTTCATCTATAAAAGGAGAAGCAGGGCGCCCCACGGAGGGGGGCATTCACACACTTCTAACACGTCTGAGCGGCTGAAGGCTCAGGCACTCGACAGTAGACGGAGAGCTCAACTAGACTCATTCTTTTCACCAGAGACTTGGGACCTTCTCCCTCTCTCGCCTGTTTATAACTCCTACTACAAACCAAATGCCGGTAACACGAGCAGCAGCAGACTGGACGTAGGGACGTTCTGCCTGAACTAGTATAAATTCTTGTGTCCTCCGAGCATAGCCATCTAGGTTAGACGCGCAAACTAGAAATTTACTAGCTGGTGATTCGAAACACCAACACGACGGCTGTGCGAGTTGGTAATGTCGCAGTTTTTTGAGAAGCCGTGAAGAAAGGTAGAGAGGAGCAGGCCTATTACAATTGTTTCATCTTTATGTTGCAAAGTACACTACTACAACTTGACTTATCACTATCGTCACTTTTACTATCGTAGCGAAAAAGCGTCGGTGTGATACTTCTATCATCGGTTGTGTAGGGGACTATGATGCCTAAGAGGGGGGGTGAATTAGGCAACTTAAAATTCTGACTCTAAGCTATGACCTCCTTTTCTAACCTTAGCAAAACCTATGCAAAAGATAAACTATCTAAATGTGCAACTACGGTTTTGCTAGTGTGTTGCTATCTCTACCGCAAAAGGAGTAATGCAAACAATGTAAATGCGAAAGCTAAAGATTAAGGTAGAGATATGCAAACTCCCATCGACGACTCTAGTATTTTTACCGAGGTATCGAGAAGCGCGCAAGCTTCCCCCTAGTCCTCGTTGGAGCCCCTCGCAAGGGCCAAGCTCCCGGTCGGGTAACTCCGTGGATAGCCCCGGGCCTTCCCCACGCACAAGTGGGTCTCCGGTGTGCCTTCCAGTAAGCCTCTCCCAGACCGCTCCCCGCCATCTTCACTATCAAGCTTCCGGCTGAAACGCCGTGGGCCTTGTTCCCTCCGGTACACGGTGGCGGCCACACCACAAACACGGTTGGTGTGATCTCGCAAGACTACAAGCCCCTCCGATGTACAACAATGGTGCGCGTAAGCACCGAGTGGGTAAGAGGTATGCAAACCTCACTAAACACTAGGCCTAAACCTAGAGCAAGCGCATAAGTGGTGATCTAATCAACCTAAGCACTTCGCAAAGCACCTACGCTAATCACCTAATGAATCACTGAGCACTATGCAAGTGGAGATCACTAAAATGGTGTATCAACACCCTAGATTTGTTTCCTCAGCTCCACTGGCCTCAAATGGCTTGTTGGGGGTCTATTTATAAGCCCCACTGAGAAAGTAGCTGTTGGGGATGAAATCCCGCTTTTCTGCTACTGACCGGACACTGCTGTCGTCCTGACCGGACGCGTCCAGTCGTCCCGACTGGACACGTCCAGTTGTCCCGACCGTTGGAGCACGCGATCAACTGATCGGACGCTGATGGTGTCCGGTCACATGCCACCAGATGCGTCCGGTCGCAACTTTGCCGCTCTTGAACCTCTCTGTACTTGATCGGACGCTGCAGTTCCTGCGTCCAGTCGATTAGCCACCAGCGTCTGGTCACTGCTGAGTGTGATGCCGGGATGATGAACAGTGCCATCGGTGCGTCCGGTCACTTTCAGTCCTCAACGTTCGGTCACTGCTGCTGACGCCTGCTGTTGCCGAGCAACTGATCGGACGCGTCCGGTCCCTATAAGGGTTGCGTCCGGTCACCTCTGTGAAGCTTGTTTCTTGGTGATCTTGCGTCCGGCTTGGTTCCAATCTTCGTGCTTGGACTATACTTGATATCTTGGGTCTTCTCTTGTGCTTCTAGGGTCTTGCTTCTGGTGTTGATCATCGGATCATCACGTCGCCTTCGTCCAAGTCACATCTTGCACCCTATTGAACTACAAAACAATCACTTGCAAATTCATTAGTCCAATTTGGTTGTGTTGGTCAAGCATGAAAATCCAAAGTAAATGGGCCTATGGTCCATTTTCCTTACAATCTCCACCTTTTTGGTGATTGATGACAACACAACCAAAACAAGCAAATAATAAAAATTTTGGACTTTAAAAACTATTTACTTGCTAGGATGCAATGCAAAGGGCAATGTTAT